AGTAAAACTATGGTCGCAACGGATTGATAAGTGATGAATTTCAATGCACTTAAGGTAACAACTTTAAAACGGTAAAACTGCTGGTTTACGGACCTGTCTCCTGTTAGCGTTTGATTGAAAAAGGTGAAGTTCTAAAACTGATAATACATGGGGGAAAAGTTTTTCTCAAACTTATATCTGTAAATTTTTGCTTTTATTTGCTCTAAACAGCAGTCTTTTTGGTTTTTAGTGATATAATCACTAAAAACTAAAAAGATTATTACTATTATTGCCTATTATTATTATTGTTATTATCGTTTATTATTATTATCATTATTAATTATTGTTATTATTATTATTATTTGACGTATTTGAAAAAAAGAAATGTTTTGCTTTTGACCACTTTAAAAAAGCCCAAATTGTTGACTGGAGATGCAACTTTTGTTGCTGGATAGTAAGCAGCTAATTGCCAGTTCAGAAATTGGAAACCTTAAGTTGGGCAAAATCGGGAAAAGGCTCATAGAAAAGTTGCTTTTAGAAAACACAATTTTCTGATGTTAAAATCTAAATAATGAAGAATATTTAAGCACATAGATTTTTATTATTGTAATATTCGTCATTTACTTTTGTCATACGTAATTCTATATACATATAGATAATCAATGCTTCTAGCAAATAACTAAAAAAAGACTGAGTATAAAAGTTACATTACCAAGCTAGAATGCCAATGCTTGACATGTAATAAGTCTCAGTTACTTCTTGTCAGGGCTTCAAGTGTCATGCAAAAAAATTTTTTTTCAATTTTACTTCATAACAAAGTTTTCATAGGTTCAAAAAAGCAACGCGTTTCAGATGTAATGTTTAGTCATGGAAAAAACAATTTGGCATAAAAAATTGTGTCAATAATTTTTTGTTTTAAGGGTTTATTGTTATTACAACCATTATTACACCGGTATAAACGTCTTTTTCGATGCTCTGAATAAAATTTAGATTATTTCTAAGCAAGGAAAATAAAAATTTTTTTTGCATTAAATATCATAAACAGCTTTTATGGAGAGTTAGCAAAAATTTGAGATAATTTTATTTATTATTTTTTAGCGATAAAAGTTGAAGTAAACTAGCTGAACTGTTTTTTTTGCTCACTGCGGAAACTTCGACTACAGTTACAGAGACTACTGCTCAGAGAGAAGGTTTATCTGAGGAAGCGTGAAGTAGCATGCAAAAAAGTAGACGATAAATGGCAGTTGAAAAGAGTAATAAAAACTTATTGTCAACTGATAAGGTAAGCTGGAAGCAGAAAAACGTTTAAAGCACTGGGTAACTGCACTTCCAAGTGCTAGACAAATGCGGCCAACCGAGCCGTCTGATTGTGCGATATGTGGTGATCACGCAACTGGTAAACACTATGGAGCATTATCCTGTGATGGTTGCAAAGGTTGGTATTTTCCTTGATATTTCTTTCAAGGCATTAACTTTTACATAACTGTTAGTCTTTTACTTTATTGCAGTAGTAATGTGCATTTATTGTATCAATAAATCAAAAAGTTTACGAATATCTACTTCTTCTGCTTTATCAAAACGGTGCCTAACATAAATTTATCGATTAACTTGTTCAAAATGATTATAGGCATTTGATGATGAAAAATACAGCGAATGTTACAGTTGTAACACTGCTCTTTACAGGTGTTTTTTTGACTACTTATTTTTCAATGATGTGATCATATTTTAGGATTTTTCCGGCGAACAGTTCGGAAAAAGCATAACTATGTTTGCCGCTTCGAAAAAAAATGCATCGTTGACAAAGGTTGGGTAATCATGTTCAATAAATATACGATGATGCACTTTAACGCTTATAAACAGTACATTTTTTTACTTTGTTTTTTATACATCTAATGAAGATGCTTTGTTTGTTTTAACTTTTTTATTTAGCTGTTCCTTTCCTATTGCAACAACAGTGGTAATAAGTCTAATGAGTATTTTAGAAATAAAGAATTACTGATTTTTTATTGAGTTAATGCTAAGCGAACAAAAGTGTAAAAGATAAACAGTAACTGCAGAAGAGTGTTTGCTGACAAATAATATCAGAAACGCGTCAACGCATCATCGTTTGAAATGCCACTAACAAACGGTTTTATTAAACATTCCAATGAATACATTAAGTTTAGAAATAGGTTTATACGACCTTTCTCACAGCCTGTTTATCACTCCTCTACTACTTTCTTCTTCATCTAAACATTCTTAAGCAAATTAAATTGTTACACTCTATTCCTTCCCTTCTCTGCATTCCTCACGATACTCAGCTTTGCCCTCTAGTTATACCGATCTTCATCAGCTACCGTTTTTTAACTCACAGGAAAGCGTAGGTATAAAAACTAAAAAAAGTTCAAAAAAAAAATAAGGTAAACAATCCCCGCCTCAAAAAAAAGGAATTTTTTTTTTTGACTTTTATTTAGAATGTCTGATTTTATCAACGTAAAAACTTCAATTTTTGATAAAAAAACTTTGTTTAGGTCAGAGCTCAAAGTCACAGCGTTATCTAAAAACTTATAAATTCTTTGTCATTAGAAATACTTTATTAAATGCCAAAAATTGTTGATCAGAAATCGGAAAAATTGACGACTGCTCAATTCGTGTTAATGAATAAGTTTATCTTACAGCAATAACTGAATGAAGATTAATTTTTAAAGTGTTTAAGAAGCAGCAAAAAAAATTAAAAAGCTGGGTAACCAAGTTTAGCCACTGTTAGTCAGTGAATATTACTTTCGTTAATTTTCAAAAAAACAAGGTTGCTGTTCAACACTGTTTCGCCTAATACTGCTATCGCATGAAGAAAATCACACAAACAATATACTTATGTTGGTTTCTGCAGAGTAGGCTAATTTATTTTACTTTTAGATCATCGAAATACATGTAGAAAATGCCGTTTTGACCGATGTATAAGGTGTGGTATGCGCCGCGAAGCTGTACAACATGAAAGGGATCGAATTGCATCGCATCGTGCATCTGCAGCTCTGAACAACAATTCAGAGGCTTACATTAATCATCTGCTCAAAGTAAAAATTGCTTTAAATAAGTTCTACATGAGTATTAGGTTAATATATAAAGATACGTTGCTTTTTTTCTTACCCCAGTTACTTAGTTTCTCTTTCTTTGGAACCATTTTTTTTATTTTTTTATTTGGATGTTAGAAGGTAACTTCCCAATTACTCATCCACACTTGAGGAATAAGAGAAATAACTTTACTGCAGTTAACTCTAAAATTCACTGGAGTATTTGGAATTCTGTTTGGAGAAATAGCCTGGACGGCTTTAGTCTGCACAGTTTGTAAAATGATCTGGTGGAACATGAATTCTCTCTGAGTAGGTCACTTAGTTTCAATGATCGGGCTTTAAAAGTGATGACTGAGGATAACTGCGGAAAGACTGCTCGCAGAATAGCTTCAAAGATTAAGGCTTTAAATGAAACGGTGATTTGATACCTGCGTCTGTTAGGATATCGATTGCAACGTCGAGAACCACATGAACTTACCGAGTTACACCAGTTTTACGTTGAGAAAATCTTCTATAACGGTCTAAAACTGATTCTTTCGCGAATCAACTACTCTTTGCGAGGAAGACTGTATGGTGTCTGATAACTGGAGTTGCGATCAATAATAAGCAGATGACAGTCATTTTGTTGTTTGATGGAAGACCCGGATTTTTGTCAGTCAAAAGTAACGACCATCGTTTGATGAAACATATTTAGAGTAATCTACACCAACTTTCCCTGGGTTTGTGAAGGGCGGAGAATTAATGCATCTGTGTCATAGTATCATACAGCTTGCTCTAAACACCGTAAAAAGGTTGAAGACCTTGAATATAAGTATTTTCAGAGTTCATCTTCCTCCTCAGAATTTTCATTTCTGATTGTCAATATAAAAAACTTACTTAGTCATAAAGAAATCTTGTCTTAATTTGAAACTGGTTGAAATCTCTTCATAGAGAGTTCTTGACTTCTAGACCATCAAATTTTTGAGTTGATACAGTGGCAAAAGTGGTGTCAGGTTGACAACTTTACCTTTATTCTTATGTTTCTTATATCGATAAATAATTTCTGATGAAAGTAGTGTCCCGTGAAAAGTAGAAAAAAGAAAATCAGCAAATTATAAGGCAACCTACTCTTTTTAAATTAGGTTTATATTAGCGGTTAATTACAGTCAGAATAGTCGGAACAGCTAGGCAAAACGACTAAACTGGTAAAGATGTAAGAGAAGTTTTGCCAGTGCTATTTATTTAATTCTATAGGCTGAACAAGCAGCACATATGTTACGAGCTAGTGTTATTACCCGAACAGCAGATGCACGACGAATGGCAACAACTTCAGATGTTACTGACAGTATGCATCAGCAACTGATGCTGATGGTAGAATGGGCAAAAAATTTACCGGAATTTTTACAGCTTCCAATGGATTGCCAAATTGCATTGCTCAGAAATTTTTCCGCTCAACATTTAGTGATATGTGCTGGTTTTAGGTTAGTTTTTGAAATTAACATTCCCAAACTGTTTCATAATCTTTTCGGTTTTTTATTCTAACCACACTTATAACACAGTAACATTACGATGACAATTATAGGTCAATACAAATGCAGGATGCAATCTGGTTAACCAATGATGCTTGTTTACCTCGTGATATGCCGACGATTCCAGATGTCAAGTGAGTTTTCTAATTGAATAGCAGAATTAAGAGTATCAAAAACAAGAAAAAAAAAGTATAGTACTAAATAATGGAAAAAAATTTAGTCGTGTAGCAGCTCGGATATTGGACCATGTAACTCAACCGATGCGTTATTTGCATATGGACGAGAGTGAATATGTTTCGTTAAAAGCAGTTGCATTTTTTGATCCATGTTAGTTTTTTATTAGCATTGCCTAATGTTTTAATGATTAGTTAAACAGAAAGTTAATAAACAATTTATTGATATACAGTTGTGAGGGGTTTTTTTTTTAGCTAAATGGCAGTTACTTTGCCTTTTGATTGTCACTAACATAATTACACCTTGTTTTTCAAATAATTCTTTTCCAGATAAATTTATTTGATCTTTACTCTTAGCACTGTCTAAACAAATCATAGTTTATTATTGATTACTATTCAGCGACAGTTATTAAATTAAGAATTAGTTGCAGTGGCGAAAGGAGTGGAAACATGTTCGGCAATGGTCGAAAATACCAGGGAAAAAGTGTTGAGTGCTTTTGAAAATCATGTTACAAAAGTAAGTTATACAATTTACATTAGGTAAATAATTTTTTCTCTTTGCTTTTAAATAAATATTGTTAATTTTAGGTGGTTCTCTTAGCAAATTTAGTGTTTATTTTATGCAGTTGTAAGATAAGCTTTGAACTGGAACAATACAGTTAACTTTGATATGCAGAAACTGCAAATGTTTGTTTGTCTTTGGATGACCATATTACATGAATAGTCAGTAACTTATGTTTGTTGAGATTTAGCTAAAAAAAAAAAGAAAAAAAAAGGTTTATTCATTTATAGAATTTTTTTTAATAACTGGATAAAATTTTTCAAGATCTCACCTTATCGAGAAATAAATCGCCGATTAGCCAATTTGTTGCTGCTACTTCCTCCAGTGTTAGCAATTGCTCGGGATCTGGTTGAAGATGTACACCTCTGTAAAGTGTTTAGTTTAGCCGACATTGATAGCCTTATGCAAGAGTTGATGCTTTCGGCTGACAACGATAATATCAATTGTTTGGTGGCTAAAATGCAGACAATAGCACAAAAATAAAAATTTGATCAAATTTGCCATTAGTAGCTGAATGAATAATCTGCAGTCAGAATAAATTTAGTTGATGTTGGCAAAATAATTGTAGATTGATGGATAATTCGTTAATTTATTTATGCTTAATAAACTAATATTGTCATAAGTTTTCACAGTTATTTTTTTTTTTAATTTTTTTTTTTTTTT